GAGGTAGAGACTGACTGCTGTTGAAGGCCACATTTGTGCGCATTTAATTTGTCACTTGCTTCTGTGGAGCAGGATACGTTGAGCGAACAAAGAGGCGCCTGGAAAAGAGGGCATGTGAACACATACCGGTCTGGTTAAGTAAAGGTTTAATTACATATATTTCGAGGTCTATTCTCGCATACCTTGTCGATATGAATCCCCGAGTCGATCCTAACGAAGTCTTTCAGGTTGTCTAACGGACACCAGTCGACTTCTCGAAGAACCTACGCCAACGGGTGCAGTCAACAGCCGAGGCAGTGGCTTCACAGCCTCCGAATCCAGTGCTGTTTTCAGAAAACGCTAGCACAAGCACTTTCACTTCCGTAGCCGACGACTGGTGTCGATCGCGTATCGTCCCCACCTGCTGGCGAAAGTTGTTCATCCCGTGCAAACGGCAGAAATGTTTACTCCACGTACTCAACCCATAAGCAATACTCACAGCCTATCGTAACTGCCACGCTCCCAGCGCAATTACCTCTACATGGCGATCTCGCCGTGCGGGTGACGTGAGAACGGTGAGTTGTGATCATAAGATCCTTACTAACCCTGTCCAATTGTACTGTTTCATTATTCATGCAATTGTACAGGCCCCATTATGAATTGCCGAAAATGAACATTGCAGTGAACCCAGATAGCAAGCTATTTTGTGATCGTTAAGAATACTTTTCACCACAACGACCTGCGAAGATATCCTTTTCAACCGTTTTTGGTTGACAAAGGTTGTACTCAGAAGATATCGATATGGTGATAAATTCTAGAACAGCGGTGGTGTTCTTGGTAGAAGACAAAGATGTGTCTTATTGAGTCTTTTTAAACGTTCGAGTCGGTCAATCGAAGTTGCTCTGAAAAGTCTTGAAGATTGGTGATACGTCTTCAACGTGCAACAAGTACATGCAGACATCCAACCAACACATGCGAACGGAACTTAGAGTCTATAATGACGAGTTATTCTGTTAGTTAACAATCATTCAGACGCCTTGTACCGATCAGACGCATCATATTTATTATAGCGGTGAAATGCGTTGATCTACCGTGGGATTATATTCCCCTAGTGTTTGCCTTACTTTTCTTCCTGTTATGCACCAGCTGATCTCGTCAGCTGGCTTGTGCAGATAACGTGCACAGCTGTTGTTCTGTTAATAGTGCTCTCGCTGCGAGGTTCAGCTAACAGAAGATCGGCATCCTTCTTTAGGGCAACGATTAAGGGCGTCCCAACTTACGACTGCGAAACTCGATCCTGATGCGCTGACACCAGAAAGATCGAAGTATCTGACAACTAATGTCTCCGAAGAATGTTGCAGACTAAGTTTACGGACTGTATAACTCCATAGTTGTAAAGAACACGTTTTGCTGACGTCCCACTTAAAATTCTTCGTCCCTAATGACTTGGTCACGAACTCCCTCGACCAGGGAGGGGGAACTCATCCACAACGTCATCTCCTATCCCCGGTCCGCGTTGGCAAGATTGCCATTACGGCGGGGCGTTGGCCAACTGAAGAAGATATCAGAGGGTAGGCCATATGTGGAGATGGGGTGGGACCCGAATAGCTTCGGTGTTTAGGAATAGAACATCAGCTGGGCAGCGATCGCGAGGCGTAGGTCGCACTGGTTCGAGACAACATTGACTAGATCAATAAAGGCGCTACCGGGTAAAAGTACCCATTAGCTACCTACAGCCCTAGATGCGTGTGGGTAGCAGGCCACGTTTTGGCTACTAGAATTCACAGACACCAATAGTTTTGAACCTATTTCAGTAGGGATCAAGCGAAATAGACATCTGATGGGGGGAGTCAGTACATACCCTGATGGTTAGGTTCCGAGTCTGGGTCTTGAGTCTCAGCAACAAGAACATTTGCCTTGTTAAGGGTCTGTGAGCCAGGTTTGGAGGCGTTAGATATATTTTCCAGATCACTAAGACAACGCCTTTTCTCCGATGGTCGAGAACGCATAGTGTATTGGAGACGGGGTGCATCTTCTGGTTGCTCCGTGGTGGTAGTTGAACTGCTTAAAGAAGCCTTGTAAATAGAAAAGGCATGGTGGAACAACAGACTTCAAAGAAAATCATAATTTGTATGAAACCGTAATCACAGTAAGTTTAGGCGGTTGAGTCTTGAATTATAGGCTGACACTTAACGACCACACGGCGAACCGATGAACTAAAAACCATTCCATTTTGTTCGGTGGTATGCTTAATATTCTAGTTAAAACGTTTATAATCTATAGAAACAGCCCACAAAATTGCACTTGAAAATTGCCTATGTTCGGTGTACGAGTAAACTAGTTCAGACCGAAACTGTAAATATTTGGAACGAAAACTGTCCACTGATAGCGCCATGCAGAGCTGCTAGTGGCAGTTAATAGTATACAGTTTCAGTGAAAGGAACCCCGGGAGGTGAATTCGGTCTTGTTAGCGGTAGCAAAACCCGAAAAGTCGACCTACACTCACAAAACATAAAAAACATAAGATGCTCGATCTGAACAAAAACCTACCAACGTCATCAACAAAGAACGAGCCTAACACGCCACAGGTCCATGGTGGAAGAAGGCTTAACCAAATCAAATATAATTTTTAAAATTGTTCGACTTATTTTTTTTACCAATCAGTGAGAAAGCTAGGCGGTGAGTCTGGGGGACACAACGCGTAAGAGGGAGGTAATAAGGACGGACGCACGTCCACTTCTACGTCTTCGGGACATTTCGAAGCACCCAAACTAAAGCCAATTCAAGGTCCTTCAATCTGAGAAAATAAATATTAGAAGCACACAATAGAATTTCTGAGCATCCTTATGGTGTAGATTAGCTTAACTTTTATTGTCCCTTTAGCGGACTGACGCTCAAATCAACCTCGACGCGTGGACAAGCCAGAGTAAAAGGACTACAGCTGTGCTACACAGGCTGTTCTGACGGGAAAATTCCGATAACTTTTTGCGATCGCGCTGTCATGTAGATTATTGACAGAGGGCCAATAGAGATGCCAGAACTAAATCCCAGACCTCCAGTTTGGCCATCTATCTACGGTCAGCCGACTGAACACACTGCTTTTAGCGTACTGTGATAATCTTAAGCTTGGACCATATATGTAGCAGAGACATTTGGAGGAGCCCAGGAACATACTTCCCACTTACTTTAGAGATTCCGAATGCTTAACTGCCTTTTGTAATGTTGGGTATTCATGTTTG